TTCTAAACTATTCAAAGTAACTTCTTGATCACCATCTACAAATTCGATAGTTGATTTAGAGTCAAAAGTATCTCCCTTAAAAGTTATTTTATGTGCAGTTTCTATTCCACTTGTAATACCACAATGCATTTCTACTCCATGTGGTACTTGTGAATTATATTTCTTAAGATATGGTGCAAATGAATTTTCTACTGCTTCTTTAGCAAAAGGTTTCATTTCTTCTAATTGACTAAATAACTCAACTTGATCTTTTGGATAATATTTTTTACCATTAGCTAATTCTACTAAAACTTCATTTTGGTCCCAATACTCCCCAATAGGTCCCATCATAGCTACTGTTTCAAATGTTCTTGATGCTTTTTTAATTAACTCTTTAGAAACAGGATATCCCATATTATATCCAGAAAGAACAATGTCATTAGCGATAGTTGTCCCAATGAATGGAGTAGACATAGCAACCCATCTATGAATATACTTATCACAAAATTCTTTGCCAAGTTTATCTAATAAAATATAAGTAGTTAGTCCTCCCATAGAATGTGAAACTAAAACTACTTTATTACCTGTATTTTCATAAGCTTTAATTATTAATTCCTTAACTTTTTCATAATATTCATCATGGTGATAATACCTCCAATCATAAGGTGCAGAGAACAAATCAAATTCGTCTTTATATCCAATTTTTTCTAATCCTTTTATAATTTCATGGAATGCACGAGAAAATGTCTTTAATGGAAATGATGGAGAAATAGTATCTACAGCATAAGTGGATCCAAATCTTGGAGGTTCTATTTGTACTCCTTCAACATTCTCCATTCTACCTGAAGTAGAATTATAATGACATGTTAAATAAGCAATGTAACAATCATTGACATATGGAATTCCATCTAACAAATTTAACCATAAAGTGAACCAATCTTTAGATCTATCGCAATCAAGTTTTCTATCACAAAAGTCAACACTCTTAGGGATATTTATTTTAGCATTGAGCATTGAAGCCATAATTCCAGGAATAATAATGACTGGATGACGAGTACAAGTTTCAGCAATAGTAATAGATAAAAGCAAGCAAAGAAAGAGTATGTTCATTTAAGACAAATCAATCACTAACTTTTAAAGATTATTTAATTACTTCAGAGGGTTAATATTTCTTTTCTAAAAAAAGAAAAAAAAACAATATATTGAATTTTTTAAGGAAAAGAAGTAATAAAAGAAAAGAAGAAATTCTAACCAAAGTTACTTCATAATTACTTTTGATTTTTTCTTCATTTTTTTTTAACTAAGAAAAAATTAATAAAGTTAAATAAATTATTTAAAATTCTTCTTTTTGAACTTCTGGTTTTCTTATTTCCATGAAATGTTTAATGACTTCATCGGTCACTTTTTGTCTTTCTATTTGATGGTTCATAACTAATTCTTGTAATTGATGAATTAGAATATTCTTAACATCTTGTGGCATCATTTGAGCATTTTCATAATCGTTTTTAATTTTCTCTAATTGTTGGTCATCATTTAAGAAGAAACGAAGGTATTGATAAGGAACATCATCAGCAACTTTAGTTCCATTTTTCTTAAATTCTTCAATGTCTTGAACACTACAATAAGCATGGTTATTGATTTTATCCGCAATTTGTTGTGGTGTATCAATAAGATAAATTGCACTATTTGGATTTGAAGCAGACATTTTTCCCATTGATCCTTGAAGAGCTGGGAAGAATTTAGACATAATTAAACTAGGTTTGTAAGCTCCAAGAGATTCTGCATGGTCTCTAGTCATTCTGAAATAAGGGTCTTGATCTATAGCACAAGGAATTAAACATCTTATTTTTTGTTTACCAAATAAATGAGGGAATGACTCAGGGAAAGCAGGTGCAGCTTGAATAGCAGGGAATGAAATTTTACCTAAATTGTCATGAGGTTGAAATCCAAAAATTCCCTTAACTTGATTAAATGTTACTCGTGATTGAATTTTTGTTACAACTGGATACATACGTTCCATATATGTGTAATCAGTAAAAATAAATGTTTTCTTTGGATTTAAACCAGCTGCAATAATATCTTTAATATTTTCAATTGCATATTTCTCTGTTTCTGCAATAGTTACTGGTTTCCATAAATATTTTTCATCATCAGTTAATTGAACTACTAATTGACAATCAAATGCATCTTGAAGATATTTTGTAAAAATAAATGGTATTAAATGTCCTAAATGTAAAGCATCACTTGAAGGTCCTCTTCCAGTATATAAATATATTTTATTTCCTTTTTCAACATCATCTAAAATAGGATTAATATCTCTATGACAAAAGAATAATCCTCTTCTTAACCACATATGAGGTTCTTTGTGCGTAATAGCTCCTATTCTTGCAATTTGTTCTTGAGTTAATAACTCTGCATTAAAGTCTTTAACAAGTTTATTGTAATCAACTAACCCACTTACATTATAAGGAGTAACTATTTGTTTCTCAACTGTTTCAGTCATATTAATTAAGTATTCTTTTTTTTTATTTTTTAGGGTTTTTATTTTTTTATTTTTATTTAAATAAAAATTGAAATATTTAATTATGTTATACATAGCAATAATTAATAATTCTCAAAATAAATTTCTGATAATTTTCGTCTTAATTCCATAATTATTTGTTCTTTTGTTTCTACAATGTTAGTCTTTATCCAATTAACTAAAATTTTTCTTTGTAATTATTTAACAAACGGAAATTACATTTCATTAAAGCGTCTACTATTGTATTACTTTTTAGTATTGGTTCCATATTACCAAAACCATAAACTGAAATACATAACATAAATTCATCAACAAGTTCATCTGTCCATAACATATTTCTTCTATGGTTAATTCTTAAAGAGATTCCTTGTTGTTTCTCTTTAACGTATTTTTGGATGTACTCCACAAAATTTAAATGATTTTTTAATTGAGGAAATTTGTAAGTACAATATTTCATTGTTTCATAACTTAATGTATTTAATATTTCTAATGGTACGCGTGAAAGAATAACTGAATTTCTTTTTAATGTACTTGGATCTAATCCAAAATAATAAATTAATTTAATAAATTCTTCTGTAACAATAGGAATATCTAAATAAATATTAATTCTTATAGATTCATTTCTAATAATTTGACTAATAAAGTCAATGAGTTTTGTCCGATCATTAATTACATTTGTTTTATAGGATTGATCGAATTTGATAGTGTTGTGTTGAATTAATTCATTCGATCTGTCAAGTTGTTTTTGTAATATTTCATATGGATAATCCAAATTCACTGAAAATGGATTAACTTTTCTGATTTTGGCAATTGATGAGTTTTGAATAATAGGAGGTAGTTCATCAGTTGTTGGCATAGTCACTTGTCTTAGCATTACATTTGATTCACTTTTTGACGAAGGTTGGTTTGAATTAACATTTCCATTACCTGATATAACTATTACAGGATCTGGTTTTTTATATACTTCATTGTTATTTGGTGGCACTGTTATTGGGACGCTTCTTTTTGTTGGAGTTCTTAAAGGTAATGGAATCGATAATAAACAGTCATCTAATTTTTTGGATTTGTTAGTAGGAGAAAGATAAAAGTGTTTTTGTTTAATAGAAGAAGCTACTGCAGTATGAGAACTACTGTTAATATGTTTATTTCTCTGTGAAGGAATACCAGTAACAGGTTGGTCATTATTATGTATTTTCACAGCATTATCATCTAAAATTTTTGTTAGTATTTTTTTTACATCGTCATTAACTAAATTTTCTGTTGGTAATTTTTTCACAACACTATTATTTAAATTTTCTTCTGTTGGTAGTATTTTGGTAATAGAAGGTAATAAAGAAGATTTTGGTTCTAATTCACTAGTTTTGAGCAAGTTAACTGGATTTGGTTTTTGAGAATTACTCTTTTTATAAAGAAGATTTACATAAAATTCTGTTTGAGACTTATGTCTCTTTTCATCAAAAGGAAATTTAGATCTAATCGTATCAACAATATCACTAAGAATAAAAAGGTCATTCTCTTTGAAACTTGGTTCTCTGTTTATTAAATTATTTAATTCTATTGGACTTTGTAAATATGAAATTTCATCATTAATTCGTTGAAATATTTTCATCATTTCAATAGAACTAAACCGGTTTACAGTAAATTCATTTGACTTTATGTATTGAAGATAATCGTTATAATCTTTTTTTTCAAAGATAAATGAATATCCATAGAATGATTTATCAGGAATTAACTCAATGCTAAATGTGTTTCTATTTAATCCTAAAGAACTTTTTAACCAAGTGGTAGGTTCTTTATAATTACCATATTTAATAAACAAATCAACTTTTTCAAAGCCATAAAAAATTACAGATTCAAAATCAATAACTAATATACCTCTTTTTTCTTTTTTAAAATCAGATGCGTTTTGTTTATTAGTTAGTGTTTTGTGTGATGAAATAATAAAATTATGAGGAATGTCTTCAATCAGATTTGATGATGACACGACAATAATTTTCTTGTCATTAAATAATTGAAAGAGTGTATCAAGAAAATATCGAGATGATGACGGAAGAGTGTTTAGACATACTGAATTATTTCCAATATATGATGTAGATTTATTTAATAAATTTATAAAATCAGATTGCTTAAATTCTTTTTCATAATTTAAAATAGTTTTTACTTCTATTTCTTGATGATATGCAATTGGAATAATAACTGTAATTAAAGGACTTGTACAAAATAAATCAACATCAGTTGGAGGTAATAAATTCGTTGTGTTTGGTAAACAATTCCAATAAATAATACCACTTGTAGTATAAAATGTTTCTTCAGGTATTCCACATTGAAAGACTATATCAAATTTCGTTAACCATTCTCTTGGTATTAAATTACTATATTCAAATATTGCAATATCACAATAAGGGACAAAATCGTTTGTAAATATTGATTTAGTAATAAAATAATTAGAAGAATTCATTGAAAATGGGTCAGTGGATAAAATTGAATGAGTACTAATAGGAATATAACTATCTTGAATACGAGAATTTTTATTAAAATATTGATAATAACTCTTATATAATTCTGAAGAACATAAAACAGCAATTGGTTGGTTATGATGGTAAAATCGTAATAATTGAAGAAAATGATTTATAAATTCTGAACCATTATCTCGTTTACTTACAAGATAGCACTTTTTTGTTTTTTGTAATTGTCTAATAACAAATTTATCAAACTTTTGAGTTATAGAACATAAATTTGGTGGTAGTACTAAATCTCTAGCCTTCTCATAGCCAGATAACTCTGTTCGTTTTAAATATAATTTTAATTGAGAATTAAATTCTTTCTGAACCTCAGTTGATGATTTAAACTCAGATACAACGGAATCTTTTTCACGTAAAATAGTATTATACCCAATAATTTTATTTTCAATAGAAACTGTATCAATAATTCTTATTTTTTTTATAGAAGAATCTAATAAAGGTTGTTCAGAATTTTGTTGATTTGTCAAAAGAGGGTTTGATATGATTTGTGAAGAAAATACATAAAACTCTTTTATATTTCCTTCTATTGGAGAGACACTTACTAGAAAAATGTCTTCACTAATATTTTCTTTTTTATGTGTTATAATACAGCCAGTATAAATATCTAATATATTGACGATATTATCTAAAAAATTAAGATTAACTTTTTTGATAACTCTATCAATCCTAATCATAAAAATAAAGATTGAAGATTTATTTTTATCAATTTTTAAAAAACTCAAATCTTTTGTTTCTTTTTTTGAATAATAAATAATTTAATTTTAATAAACTAGTTTTTTTTATTATTTAAATTTTTTTTAAAAAACAATTTCATTCAATTTATATATTATTTTTGTTATTATACTATCTTTGTTATTGATTTTTTCTAATCGTTCAATACATTCTTGTTTTATTTTAAATAATTTCACCAATAAATGTTCGTCATTAACATTAGTTGGTTCAATCCTTTCTTTCAACTGTCCACCAAGTTTTTTTGCATGCGCAAGAATAACCAAATGATTTTTAAAATCATCCAATTCTAATTCAACAAGACATTTATTAAGAAAATTATGTTTTTCATCTGTTTCAAAGATTTTATTATCAAATATATTTGAGTAATCTAATTCATCTTTTATAAAACATAATTTTTTCCAATCAGAGATAAGACTCATTTTATTTAATCCATTAACAAATGCCTTTAATTTTAACAAAACAATATTTGTATCATCCTGCCCATACTTTTTATAAGATTTAATCATAACTTCTTTTATATCTTCTTGACTTTGAGTAATTTCGAAACGATACATTAAACGTTCTTGAATAAAATCATTATCGGCAATATATTTGATATTTCCTATATATTTTCCTGTATGATTTGCTCCTCTTTGAAGAAGAGATTTAATAAGAAGACTATTATTTTCATTGTACATAGCGATATCAAGAGCAGTTTCACCATGAATTGTTTTAACATTAATTTGTTCAGAAGATAAATGCATTAAATTAAAAATCATTTGTTTATAAATTTTTGAAAATTTACTTTCAGTTAAAAAATGTAGTGCAGTTTTATTTTCAATTCTTGTTTGAGCTGCTATAAGATTATTAATTCCACATGTTAATAAAAATAATGTACATTCTAAATGATTATTTTCTATTGAATACATTAAAGGAGTGAAACCAAGCATATTTTGTTTAACAATATAAATTGTAGGTGAATATGAATTTATTAATACCACAATTTGCTTAAGAATATTAACATGACAATTTTTGCTTGCTATATGAAGTAACGTATCCCCTGTTGTAATATCAAAATATTCTAATATAGCTCTATGATTTGAACTAACTAAATCATTAAATAATAGGTCATCTCCTTGTTCAACTGTCCTTTTAATAAATGTGTTTAAAAATGGTTCTTTTGTTAACTTCTTTTCAAATTCATTTAATTCTTCTCCTCCAATATCGTCAATTTCATTTCTTATTTCTTCTTTTTTTGATATATAAATTTTATGAATACATTCATTTCCTTCTTTTTCAGTACTTTTCTTTTTCTTTTCGATTTCATTTTGGTT